ACTCTGAGCACAAACAGATGACTTCAGCCTCCTGAGAGCAACTAAAGCCCAGCAGCTCTCACACTGATGCAGAACAGGGGGAGAAAAATAAAAACAAAATACAGCAGCGCCAGGTTTATACATGGGATGAGCTGCAAAGTGCACACAGGCAGCAGCCCCAACAGAGCCCACCCCCCCCCCTCCACCCCCTCCCAACCTTTGCTCCCTGCACTACAGCTGAAGATCCAGGAATAAATGGTCCCAGCGCAGGCAAACAGCTGCAGGGGCTGTTACCAGCCATGGGGGAGCAGAGCAGCTGCACCGAGCAGAGCATGACCTGCAGCAGCAGCCTGGCCCTATGCATCCTCCCCTGGTGTTGCAGGGGGGGAGAACTGTGCTCCTGACAGCTCTGGAAACGATGCATTTTGCAAACCCATCCTTCCAGCAATTCAAAAGAGGACGCATTTTGCAAAAGCAGAGCACAGCACTGCAGCACACAAAGCAACGCAGGGTCAATGCAAACTGAAATGCGGCGCTGCTGCATCCCTCTGCATGGCTCTGCATGGCCATCCCTGCAGCCCAGCAGGGGAGGGAGGTGGATGTGGAGCAGTCAGAGCCCTGCACCAAAGCCTGGAGGACGGTGCAGCTGGAAGGGCTCCCAGCCCAGCTGCTCACAGCACAGGGAAGCCCGGTGCTGCTGGGAGACTGCCACCAGCACAGCACTCCCCTCCTGCACAGAGGCCACGTCCCTACACCAGGGCTGTATCTGCACTGTACTGAGCTCAGCAGGTGCCCCCCTGCAATTCTGGGTCCTCCCCGAGGGTCCCAGTCCCATCCCATGCAGGGCACAGCAACCCCTTCCCTGCGTGCAGCCCTCACCCTAGGGGCACTCTGCCCCATCATTGCTCAAATTTGTACCTCTCACATCCCGACTGAGAGCAACATCACACCAGAGGGACAATCCTGTGCCATCCTTTCCAGCCAGGGATCCCTTCTGTGGAGTACTTCAAGGCAGCATCTGGCTGGATGCTGCCCAGCGAGAGCTCCTGGCCTGATGTCCCTTACAAGGAGCACGAGCTGCTGCAAGATGCTCTGCGTGTTGGAAAAGTCTTTGCACCATCCCCTGTCTGAGAGAGAGGAGGGCATCGCATGGGATATTTCACATGGAGAGGGCAAAAGAAAACCACCAGGTCAAAAGAAAAGCTCTTCCCTCCCTCTTTATTATAGGGAACAAATAACTGTATCTGCAAAGTGCATTGTAAAGCCTAGGGATGCCACCAGCACACTCCCAGCTGCAAGTGCTGCCTGGGGTCTGCAGGGAAGGAGGGTTGCAGAGTGGGGTGCAGGGCGCAGGCAGCCTTCCTGGGCAGCATGCATTTCAGGACGGTGCCCTGCAGGTGCCCTGGGAGGAGAAAGGCAGCATCCAGACTCCACACCCTTTGGGGAATGGGACAGAAAGCAGGGAGGGATTAGGAAAAAATATATATATAGCAGCCAGGTGGTGAGCTGTGGAGTCAGCACAAGGGCTGCGGGACACGGCTGGCAGCACTGGCATTTGGGACAGCTGGGACAGCAAGGTCAGGCCAACCAAGGCACAGAGCCCACCGTGGGGCACAAGGGAAGGGTGCTGGGAACCTATGGGTGACACCCCACAGGACATAGGGTGACACTGAGCAGGAGGGCAGGGGATGGGGGGGGGGGGGGGGGGGGGGGGAGTGCAGGCCTCCAGCCCAGCTGTGTGCATAGCAAACACACCGTGACCTCAGCAGCAAGAAAAGTGAGGGGCACTTTCTCCTCGTGTTGTTTGCAGCACTCCACACCAGCAGCACCACCAGTTGCAACTGGGACCCTACAGACAGAGCAGGATCCCCTTTGCTCTCCTGTTCCCCCCCTCCCTGTACAGCCCACACACAGAGCAAGAGGAGCAGCCACTTGGCAGGGAGCGTGCAACCACCAGGCTGGCACCTCATCCTGCTGCTTTTGGTCGGTTTGCTTCAAAAGGAAGCAAAGATGCAATGAAAGCAAAGGTCCTCAGGCCACGACCTGGGCAGCTTTTTGCACTGCGACACACCTGAGACCTGCACACCCTCCCCAGCAATTCTGCACAGTGAAATGCAAGAGGTCAGGCTTCCCCCTGGCCTCTTGCATTTGCTTTTGCAGCACCATTTCTGCTGACAAGCACTGGGACAGGGCTTAGCCAAGAGCACAGCAGCTCTTTGAAGTCAGCCAGCAACCTTTTTCAAAGGAAAGGCGAACGCCTCCCAACAGCTGTTTTGAAACACAGTGTGACAGAGCCCAAAAGAAAGGGACTGAACCCTCAGCTTCCCATCTGCAACCCTGGGGCAGATGCCCTCTGCTAAAACCCCAGCCAGGGTCAGAGCTGAGCCTCCTGCTCCATTGCTGCCTGCAGGAAGCCCAGACCCTGCCCTGACAGCAGGTGATGCTCACAGAGCAGTCAGGGGATCTCCTGAGGACAGCAACGTCCCCAGGTGCACACTGAGCACTGACCTGAGAGCACAACACCAGGCTGATGCAGTGCTTGGGCACCACAGCCACAAGATAAGGGCAGGAGGGCTTGGACTGAGCTCTGGAACATCAACCAGCACAGGAAGCTTTATGGCACACTATAATTTCATCCCTGTGTTCCACCTTCTGAAACCCCTCTCTCCACCCCAAGACCAACAGCCTCCCCTCTCCCCTACACATTCAGTGTCCTTTTCTCTCCAGCACTTTCCCAGACACAGTTTACACTTTATTCAGAGCCCCCCCACACCTGTCCAGCTCACAGTGTAAGGCACTCACCCTACAAACAGCACACTGGTGCTCCCCTTGCAAAGGGCAGAGTTGGGAGTAAGATATACCCTCACAGTGCACACCTAAAGGACATCCAGACACCAAACTGAGACACCACTTGGGATCCCAAACCTATCCTATAAAAGCCAAAACCAGGAGGCCCTGCAGCAGCTCCTACACAAACCCCCCTCCCCAAAGAAACTCACCTACAGAAGAATCACAACCTCCTCACTGCTCTTCAGCTCCAACCAGCAGTAGATTCACCATAACCCCTCTGCCTCCACCCTCCTAACAGGCTTCAGGTGCTGAGCTCCCTCGTTAGCAGCTCAGTGCTAATAGCCCTGATGCACACATGCGTGTCTGGCTGCGCTCACCCAGCAGCAAGACCATATGGGTCACCCCACTGCAGGCAGGGCAGCAGCAAGCCACCAGCTCTGGGTGCAAGGAAAAACATACCTTCAGTAAACAGAGCTGTAAGGAGGGACAGGGAAGTGGTTTCATCCCTGTGTTAATAGGATGCATGATGATAGGGAGGAAAAAGGCAAGAGGACAGCAAAAGTCAACACCAGGACATGGGACAGCCTCACAAACTGCAGCAATCCCTGTGCTCACCCCGAGCAGCAATGCCTCCTGCACTGCTCTCGCTGTAGCAGCCCCTTAATTTGCTCATTAGCAAACCCAGGAACAAGAGGGAGGCACTGAATAGCATCCCTTCCCCTGCACAACCTCCACATCCTCCCCCCCAGTCTGCTTTTCACAGCCCCGCACAAAAGCTTTTCAGTGCCGCTCAGGTCAGAGACAGGAGTCCAAGGGGAAGTTTGGGGCTTGGGCTGGTGGGGAGAAAGGCTCACATGTCTGCATCCCCACAATGGAGTGCTCAGAAATGCCATATCCCAGCACGCAGAGGTGTGGGCCACCAGCAGCTGGGGATGCGCAGATCTTATTCCCAGCTGCTGGTGCGTCACCCCTGGGTCAGCACGGCGGGATGCTCCCTGCATCCCAGCCCCCTCAGCACCACCAGATGCCAATGAGGCAGGGGATGGACAGACAGACAGATCTGTGAGCACGTGGGGAGTGACCCAAGCATCCTTGTTCCATTGAGCCCTGTGCACGTGGCGCGTTGCGTCAGCTGCAAGCAGCATCCTGAGAAGGCGAGATGCAATGAATCACCCTCACTCCATGAGGGACCCGCATGGATGGCAGCCAGGCAGAATGGGGAAACCACCCAAAATCAAAGGATCCCAGGGGATTCCCTTCGCTGGTGCCTCTCCTACACCGTGGCTTCCCAAATGGCACCACCGGGCACCAAACTGAGAGCCCACGGCTTGCAGAAATGGTTGCTGTGATCGGGCTGGGGAGGCTGGAGAGAAAAGGAGTGCTGTGTGGGGAGGGCTGTTTTGCATTTCTAAAGAAAATGCCAGCGCTTCGAAGAGCCGCGGGGTTCTGGCTACAAACCCAGCCGAAAGGCTTTGAAAACTCATTTGAGGATTTGGGATGGTGGTGTCTCACAGCGCCCGGGCTGGGGCCTGCTTTGCAGACACAGAGCAGCCGCTCTCCAGGAGCTGTGCACCCGCAAGCTGGAAATTTGGGGCTAAAAGCAGGAGTTTCCCCATCCCACGAGAAGGAACGCAAACTTGGTGGAAGGAAACCTTTGCTCTCCCGTGCAACTTCCCAGGCGCTGCCCTGCAGCACCCTGCATAACCCCGTGCTGCACATCAGCCTCCCAGCTGCAGGAAGGGCTCGGGTTGCTGCGGGAGGAAACCCTTTGATTGGGGCTCCCTATAAAACCGGAGACAACGTGGGAAGTTTCCTCGGCGGCGTGTTCCTTCCATCTCCAGAGGATGCGGAGAGCATGGGCAGCCCTAGAGCAGCTCTGGTTATCCGTGGCTGCAAGAGGTCCACGCTCAGGATTTCCTTGGTTCTGGCCACTTTGGATGCCAAACAAGCCCACCTCCCTCGTACAGGGCTGCAAAGAGCCGGTGCCAACACCTCAGAGAGATGGCTCTGTGCAAGGCCTGGTTGGAAGGATTTTTCTTGGGATCCTCGTGGAAGGATATTTATCCGCTCCCTGTTGGCTTGACAGCTCCAAAAGCTCATTGCTAAAGGCACCCATTCATTAGCACTGCCCCAACCGGGCCGAACCCAAAAGGACAGCATCCATCTATGTCACCTGCTGGCTGCCAGCACTGTCACAGCATGGGGAGCAAAGGGGACTGGGGATGCCTTACCTTGGGGACGATAGCCGGGGGTGGCACGGCCAGCAGCTCCGGGGGGGCCACGCTTTTGCCAGCCAGGACCACGGCCCCGCACTCTGCACACGCGCCGATGGTCAGCTGCTTGCCATCATCCACCAGCAGGCTGTTGGCCACGCGGAGGGTGTAGAGGAAGACAGGCAGCCTGGCGACCTGCACCGCTTTTAATCCAAGGCATCGCTTCTTCTCCTGGCGGCAGAAGAAGCAGACGAAGGTCTCCACTTTATACTGGCGGGACCAGGCGCTGCTGGGGTGCTGGGAGTTCCTGCCCTCGTGCTGCAGCCACTGGCCCAGCAGGTCGTGGTAGCACAGCACACACGTGGCTACCAGCCCTGTCGAGTCGGCTGGCCGTGCCCGTGGGGCTGGCGGGTAGACGGTGAGGAAGGGAAAGAACGGTTCCTTCTCTCCAAATCTCCCCGGCGGGTTGACGTTGAGCTGGAACTCCCTGCCGGCTCCCAGCTCGGCCCCGCAGATGTAGCACACCGAGGTGGGACCCCCTGGTTTGCCGATGGGGTGACCTGGCTCTGAGGCAGAGAACACCTGGTGGTACCTCCCCAGGAAGCTCTGCACCGAGCTGATGAGCTCCTCGTTGTGGCATGCACGGTACATGGCCCACAGGTCCTGCAGGACCCCATAGCACTTGCGGCAGCTGCTCACCTCCCAGTGCTTGTTCAGCCCCTTGGCTCCAGGCGGGCACGGCAGGAGGCTGAGGAAGGGGAAGTGCATGGTGCTCTTGGCGTTCCCGTTGGTGATTTTGGCCGCCACCGGCCTCGCCTCTTTGCCACACTCCTCCCCACACAGATAACACGCCTCGGGCACCGGGGGGACACCGGCTCCATCCTCTTTGAGTCCCCTTGGGCGGCCCTTGGGCATGGCGTTGGCGTTGAGGGGCACCACGTAGAGCCGCTGCAGCACGGGCACGTTGGCCAGCTCGAAGCTCTGCCACTGCTGCATGAGCGAGGAGAAGCAGCAGGGGCACACGAGGGTGCTGCCGGCGGGAGAGAGGGGCTGGGCGCCCGGCGGGGGGCTGTGCAGCCAAAGGAATGGGAAAAAAGGAGCCGGCGAGCTCTTCTCCTGCTTCTGCACGTGGACGCGGTGCTGCCCGCCGGGCGCCAAAGAGCTGCCGCAGATGTAGCAGGCGGTGCCCGGCACCCAAGCGGCCCGCTCGCCGCCTTCCTCCTCCTCCTCGCCTTCCTCCTCCTCGCTGGTGATGTTGATCTCGCTGTCCGACGAGCAGCACGCCGCCCCCCGCTTGATCCCCGCTGCCACCGGGGGGGCCCTGAGCGCGCCACCCGCCCCCTCGGGCTCCGAGAGGGGTTCGGCGTCGGACAGCTCGGATAGCTCGGAGCCGGCCGCCGGCCCTTCGTCCTCCTCCTCCTCTTCCTCCTCCTCCTCCTCCTCCTCCTCGCGGCGGCAAGGCGGCGTGCCGGGGTCCCAGCCCGGAGCCCCCCGCCGCAGCCCGCTGCCCCCCGCCGCCGCCGCCGCCGCCGCCGCCGCTTCGCACTGGTGGGGCCGCTTGAGCCAATACATGCGCTTCTCCACGGGCGTGCGGCTGCGCTCGAAGGAGTCCCACTGCTCTCCCAGGAAACAGCGGCAGACGGCGCAGACCAAAGCGCAACCCTCCGCCGAGACGGCGCGGGCTCCGGGCGCCGGCTCTTGGTGCTGGAGGAACGGAAAGAAGGGCCGGTGGTCGCGGGGGGGCCTCACTTGGAGCTTCAGCTCTTTGCCGCGGCTGATGCCGCCGCCGCAGATGAAGCAGCAGAGCGGCGCCGACGGGGGTTGCGGAGCCCCGGGGCCGCCCGCAGCCGCCGCCGCGCCGCCCTCGCCGGCCGCCAGCGCGGCCATCAGCCGCTGTTTGCGGGAGAGCGGCGCCGCCGCCGCCGCCGCCGCCGCCCCCGGCCCCGCCGCGCTCATCGCCGCCCCCGGCTCATCCCGCGGCTCCGCCGGACACGCAGGCTCGGGGGGCGGGTTTGAGGAGCTCCCCCCCCTTCGCCTCCCTCCGGGCCGCGCCCGCCCTCCTCCTGGGTTGGAAAAGGGGTGGAAGGAAAAAAAAAAAAAAGTGGTTGGGGGGGTGGGGGGGTTGGAGGGGGTAAAGGGGAGAGGGGATAAAGGAGAAAGAAATAAAAAGGGGGGAGGGGGCGGGGAAAGAAAAAAAAAAAAAGAGGAAGAAGGAAAGAGGGGGAAAGGGGGAAAAGGGGGGGCGAAAAAAGGGAAAGGGGAAAAAGGGAAATAAAAGGGAAAAAAGGGAAAAAGGAAGGAGGATAAAAGGGGGGAAGGAAAAAGGGAAAAGGGGGAGAAGGGAGAAAAAGGAAAATGAAAAAGGAAAGGGAAGGGGGAGGAAAAAAAGAGAAAAGGAAAAGGGGAAAAGGAAAAGGGAGAGAAAAGAGGAAAAGAAAAAAAAATTAAGAAATGAGGGGAGAAGGTAAAAAAAAAAAGAAAATAAAGGAAAAAAGAGAAAGAGGGGAAGAAAAAAGGTGAAAGGGCAAAAAAGAAAAGAAATAGGGGAAAAAATGAGGAAAAAGAGGAAAAGAGAAAAGGGGGAAAGGGAGGTGAGAAGGGGGAAAAAAAAAAAAAAAAAGAAAGAAGGGGGGAGGAAAAAAAAAAAAAACCCAAAAAACAAAACACGGAATAAAAAGTTCGCTGCGAAAGTTTGGGTGCCGCTGCGAAGCGCGGAGGAAGGGCGGCTGCGAACCGCCTCCCGGCACCGCCGCACCGCCCTCCCCTCCCCGGCGCCCCCGACCCGGCCCCGCCCGCACCGCCGCCCCCACCGCGACCTTCCAGCTTGGGGGGGTTGAGGGGGGCACGAGCAGAACCCACCGAGAGCCGTGGGGGATTCATGAGCTGCCCCACACCCCTCTCCATCCTTCTTCACCCACCCCCTCTGTACGCGCTTTGTGTCCCCACCCCCCTCCCGTGGCGGCACGGAGCGCGGAGACACCGCGACACCGTCCCTGTCCTTCGCAGCGCCGCGCACCAGACATTAACTCTGCGCCCCGACCGAGTCCCAACCCCAGTAATTTATTTCGCATTTAAAAGTCCTGCTGCTGTTCCAGTTCAATACCAGATTCTATTTCCCGCTTGGCCCTAAAATGCTGCATCGCTTTGCCGCTCGCTGGTAAATAGCTGATGTGTTCTCAGCCGGAGCTGGCCGCGTTTCAGCGACGCATGCAATAATCCCGGTATATCCTTACCTGCCTTACAGCCCGCGATAAGATTTAGTGCTTGTAAAGCACTTTGCTGTCCTTGGACAACAGGCACCGCGGAAGCTCAAAGTGTACCGGGGTCCGTCCGCAGTGAAACCTGCCTTATTAATCACCCCAGCACACCCAGCGTGGGTCACCCCATAAAAAAGATATATGAATGGCAGCGGGGCTGTCTGCAAGCAGCACTGAGTGAGAGTTTGTGGCAAGTCACCCTGATGTCCCCATCGCTGTCCTTGCAGGGCACCATGCCTGTCTTCACTGTGCAGGATTGGACCCCAAGTGAGGCACAGTGATTGCAGCACGGTGACACAGCACTGTGATTGCAGCGGGGTTAAGGGACCGGCGCTGCTGGGACATGCAGGACTGCTGTCTGCAGTCACCCGTGGGATCACCCCATCACCCTGCAGTAGGGACTGCACCCTGCTGGGTTGGGCCGACCCTTGATGTCACCTCCTCCCCGGTCACTGGCCGTGAGATCAAACAGATTGTGTGACATCAGCTGGAGAGCGGGCAGGGGGCACGAAAGGCTCTTTGGGGACCGGCATCCAGTTTCCACGCAGATGGCTCCGGCAATAAAGCCTTGTGGCTGGGGGGGGGGAGGTGACACACCAGGAGGTGAACACGATACCTTGGGAGAGCTGGCTCGGAGCGGCTTTTTTCAGGGTTTTCCAGAAGACAGCGGGGCCTCGTTGTATTTTATTTATTTATAGGCCTGATGTTGCGGCTGCTCTATGCGGTGAGGGCGTCGGGAGCGCGGCGCGTGGCGGGGCGGGGATGATTAGAATGCTCTTTAAAGGTCTCCCAGCATCGCCCCTTCTCCCTGCCAGCACTGCTGTCTCCACGCAGTGATTTCACGATGAGACCCAATAGGATGCGACCCCAACCCAGGGAAAGCCCCCCACCAGCAGGAGCACCCCAAGAAGCGACACTGCAGGGAAAGACTTCACCCATCTCTGCAGCCTCTTCCCCTGCTGTCCTCAGGGATCACAACCCCAGGGCTGCCCCCAAAGCCCCACTGCCCCCCCAGGAGCCGTGCGTGGGGCCGACAGATGCTGTCCCGCCTGCGCTGCAGATGGGCAAGGAAACAACACGCTGAATTCAAGCACCAGAGCGCAGCGGGGCCAGAGCCTCTCTTTGTCCCCATGGTCACTCCAGGGGTGACATGAGCCCCCAGCCCCCCCGTGGCCCCGTATCCCACTAGCACGTAGCCTGGGAGCAGCTTCCTGGGGCCTTGGCTGCACACGGCCGGAGCAGCTCATTTATCATCCACCGCTGCCTCAGCCCTGCGGTTGCTGTTTTTTTGCAACAGAGAAGCTGGGAGGGAGAGAGAATTTCTCAAGTCGGCCTCGGCAAGAACTGAAAACATATGCCCTGGCGGCAAGCGCGTCCCCCGGGGCGAGCAGGGATGGAGGAGAGGCTGGCGCAGGATTTTCCATCGCTGCTCCCTTGGAGGCAGGGAGTGTTCCAGCAGAGCCTGCCTTTTCAGGCTATCCCAGGGCCAGGAAGGGTGACAGTGAGGTCTGCTGCTCTATAACACCTTCAGCAGCTCCGCATCCCCACGCACATCCCAGTGGGATGGGTGGCCTCCGCGTGGCCTCTGCGTGGCTGGGTTGCATCAGGGCTGGGAGAGAGCATGAGTTGTGCAAGGTGCTGTGCAAACAGCCCTCGAGGGCCGGGTGGTTTGCAGCAAGCCAAGGCTGGCTGTGCTGGGACCACCCATGTCCCCGCCATATCTACATCCCATCCTCATCCTCATCCCCAACCTCATCCTTGTCACCAGCCCCACATCTATCGCTATCCCCAGCCCCAACCATGCCCATCCCTGTCCCCACCCCACCCCAGGCTGCTCCCGGTGCTGCCCGCTTCCAGCACACCCTCACAACCAGGCACGTGCTGCAGATCCCTGTCCCCAGGACCCGGAGGTTAATATGGAAATTACCAACCGCTTATTCCTTCCAGCTGTTGCTGTGAGTCATCAAGTGCCTTAAAGAGCATTTCAAACAACACAGTGCCTTCGAGACAGCGTGACTGCTCCCCCCACCCCCCCCCCCCCCCCCCCCCCCCCCCCAGATAATCCTCCACGGGGTCTGGGGTCTGAAAAGGGGATATGTTTCCAAAGAGGCTATTCTCTAATTGGGAGGCAGCAGCAGAGCCGGGAAGAGCCCTATTGTGCAAAGGGAGCAAAGGAAAGGGTCAGGGGAAAATGAACCAGCAGCTCTGAACGCATAAATCCAACCACATAGAGCCATTCCCATGGGGGAAACTGAGGCATGCAGGCTCCAGCCTGAGTGTCATCGTGTCACCTGCCCAGGTCACAGCTGGCAGCACGGCCTCAGTGGGATGCTGGGCCATTGGCCTGGGGTTCAGTGACCTTGAACTCTGTGCTCAACAGCTGTGTTTTTCTCTCTGCTGGCTCTTTTTTTTTTTTTTTTTTTTTTTAAGGCTGATCTATGCACTTATTTTCAGCAGGAAAAGACAGAGCAGCCTCACGGAAATGTGTTTGCATTATATATGTGTATCTATGCTTCATCGGCTGCTTTAACTTCTATGTGATTTTTTGGACTTCAGAGACTTGTTCAGTGGGTCTTTTTGCTGGGAAATCCCCATTGGGTCCTCCCCTGCTCACGAGCTATCCGTGCAGCCTTGCAGGTGACTCAGGGATGCTCCCAGGCAGGTGCACGATGCAAGCAGGAGCATCAGAAAGAAAAAGGGCAAAGAAACCCCCCCAGCCTGAGAGTAGCAGCTCTGAGCTGCTCCGCACCACAGAGCACTGAGAAATCACTGCTCCACTCTCAGCCCCTGCATGCATTCCCATCAGCATCCCCCTGCAGCACTGCGTGGTGCCATGGGGAGCTGCTGCCCCAGCACAAGGGCTGGGTTGGCTTTATTTGAAAAATTATTATTATTTTTTAAGAGGGTTGTTTTCCTTTTTTTTTTTTTTTTTTTTTTTTTTTTTTCCCCTCTTCCAGAACGAGCTGCTCTGCAAATGCCAAGTGCTGATGCCAAAGGGCCGGGTCAACAAAGAAGAATGACTGTGGCTGTTAGAGGCTGCTATTAAAAGAGGGTGGAGAGGAGAGAGGGAGAAGGGGGGGGGGAAAGGAAAGGCACAGTGTGTTGGCACAAATAGCAACGGTACAAACCCTGGAGTGCCATGCAGGACCACAGGGCACTGTGTGGGACTGGCACCAAACTTCTGCAGCTTGCATC